TCTGTGATAATTCCATAATGAACTTTGATTTTACCCTCCCCCCCCCCTCTTCTCCAGTTCTGATAACAATTGTCACCTCAACTTGAAACTTCTCTATAATTAATGTCTCATTATAAGGTATCATTTGGCACACAGTTCAGTCTCAAAACCGAGGTCCCAAACAAAGGGCGATTTTGGATCACTCTTTCTTATACTTTTTAATTTTTTATAAAGAACAAATTTAATTTACATAGAATAATTTAATTTAACTTATATTTCTCTCGCTAAAGCCTTACATATTGACGAGTAAACTTCTCTACTCAATTTTATTCTTGGGATAAGAGATGATTTATTAACAATATAATTTTTCTACATATTATCCATGTATTATAGGGGGGAAAGGTCTGTCGTTAAGGAATTAGAACACTTTGACGTGTAGCAGCGAATAATTGACGCAAATGGATCATTCATTTTTTCGATCTTTCCGACAGCCGTTAGTTTTCATGTTCCACCTGTTCCACAGTGGTAATACTTGGCCGAGTGCGAATAACGCACACACGTTCAGCTGGCATTAATTGTGAAAGTAGATCGCAATTCGTAACTAATAACTGCCAGCGGGTGTTATATTCTGTCCGAGAGAGAAGATTTAATGATTAATTGCGTCTCACAACGAACTGTACGGCTTTTCGTAATATATTGCTTAGATTTAATTGCCACGCTACGCTGCGACGCGATCGAAATTTCGAAGTGAAGTGTATAGTTATAAAAACGAAGAATGGCCAGCACGAGTCTGACGTTTGATGCGCGATTTGTGCGCGCGCGCGCGAATAATCAGATTTTAAAATCCAAATTATTTTACTTGTAATTGGCTGTGTATTCCAATACCTATTTCGATCTCCATATTGAGATCCTTTTCGGTTGATGGTCCGCTAAATCCGTTATTCTCAGTCAGAGATCGAAACCGGTACTTAATTTCACAACTAATTATAGTTATTTGTAGTTTAAAATTTGATTAGTCATATGCACAACTGCGAACCAGATTGGTCATCGCTTGATAATTACGTGTTAATAAATCGAACAAATAAATTTTTGTTTAAATCACATCTTTCAAGTGATTATTTATTTAAAAAAACGATGAAAGAAGGCGGTATCGTTTATTCTGAATATTTGATTCTATATTTGTCTGTTTTTTATAGCTTAACTAGTTAAATATAAATTCTCTGTATTTAAAGTAAAATAAGTATGTACATATATTTGAAATTAAGCGAAAGCGAGAAGAAAAGTTCTGGTGCAGTTCAGTGCGGCAATAAAAAAAAAAAAACTTTTTGAGTCAAATCGAAAAATCATAGACGTCACAACGAATGATCGATATCAAACTTGCAGCGTTTACAACAATTTTGTTAACTTACGGCGAAATATTGTGATCCATAGTCAGTCTTTGCTTTAAATATTTGATTTTTGCTTGAATCTTTGATTTAATAATTACGATAATAAATAATAATAATAATAATACACAATGTATCGCATAATAGTAATAACTAATAAGTCACGTAGTTGTGAGAAATGACCATTTCTTTTATTATGCAAGCACATACTCTTAGAAAAATTTAATACTGTAAGTAT